TTTGTTTGTGCGATATATTCCGATTTTTTGATTTATTGTCTATCGTCCAGAGTACATACAAAATACGGTCCTTATCCAAACAAAGCGATGGAACTTGTAGAAAATCAAAGCTCGTTTGATCAGGCAACCTTTATGAATTCCAAATAATTCAATTATGCCGGAAAATCAATGATATTAAAAATAAAACATAAGCGGAGCTTTTTTGACGGTATCATCCCGAACTGAAAATTACTCGACCTCCTTGAGTGCTGTGCTAACAAAACCGTCGTCGGTCTCCTCGAGTGCTTAATGCAAGACCAACCACAAACGCAAACACTGATCTAATTATGAATATGGATAACCTATGACGATGTTGAAGCGTCATTTTTTACCTCCTTTCTGCATTATAAAATTAAACAATGTGCAATAAAAAACGCCACTTGACTGAGCCCAGTTTACTGAGCTGAAATGGTTTATGTAAATACGTTTCGCGCATATAAATGGGATTTAATCTGCATGTAACAAATATGAGTTTGCAAAGCGTTTGCTGCATCCACGATATTAACATTCAAAAAGTTATTTCGGTGATGTATACAACACATGATACAGCTGCACCGAAAGTAAATTATTTGCGAGCTTAAAAGCACTTAATTGAAAAAATCAACTGTCGGACTTTCTTTACTATGTAAACACTTTATGTTGTTATGTATGCATGCAAAAATTGTACAGGGGGATGAAAGTTTCAGGATTAACGTAACTATGGTTATACACTTGGGCTTGATGTTGTTTGTGTTCCTCTTCACTCGCAAATCTAGTCGTTCTAAGCTACATCTTACACTTAACTTAATCGATTTATAAAGAAAAACACTTGAAACACACACACTGAAAGTGACAGTTTGCACATGCGAAACTTTCTCACATATCTCGTAACTTGAAATTCTTGCAAGAAACTCTTCGATAACCAATCGAAAAAATAGGATGTAACGTGCGTTCTACTGCCAAGTTGTCTATGTTTGTAATAAAGTAACGTAATCGCAACTTGTTTATAAAAAGCTCCTGTCGAAAGAAATGTTTCATATTTCGAGAACGATTCGCTTGCGTCAACTTTCATTACAGTTCGCCACACGCCACTCAAGTAAACATCTTTAAAATTGAATATGTGTCAAGTCCAACATTTGTCTCATTGTCACACATATACCTGATGCGTACATGTCGTTTATTGCTGAATTTTTGCGAGATAAAACACGTGACAACTTTTTTAAGCTCTCTCACATAAATTCGCCTCAAGGCTGAAGGAGTAGACTTATCTCAACAACAATGTTTGATAAATATTGATTTCAGAAAAGAGGGAAACGTGTGGTCCATGATTATCTCTAAAATTGCACCAACAAGTCGATGCCTACATTTTCAATTTACGACTTTACAATTTCACACATCGTCAAATATCAATTTTATAACAAGTCGTTTAGCATTCAATTTTTGCTACCAGCATGTTCTTGTTTTTTGTCTGCACATAGACTTGGAAAAGTTAAGGTAAACAATCTCATACGGATTTTCACAAATTAAATTTCGAGTAATGATGTTCGATCATTTACTAAGACAGATGGGGCTGAATTGAAGTGTAAACTTAGTTAAGATATTTGCATCAGATGTGTGCAACAGCTGGACGATTCTTTTGAAAAAATAAACGAATTTCCTTTCATTTATTTCTGTGTATTTTGAATCCTGACTAATCCTAAAAAATACGTTTTCAGAACACAATCCGCATTGAAAAACATCACATATTAAAATCAAACAAATTTTATACAGATGTATCAGAAATACGTTTGTTAATTTTAACACGTGAAAGAACTCATTAAGTAAAACAACTTTTCTATATAACATTTTGCAAAATTCTTATTATTTGCTTTTATTGCTTTCCCCCATAATTTTGTGTAAACGAGCCTTTTAATGTCAATAAATAATTACAACAATGCAGTTGTTTTAATGTAGTTCCGTTTCTATCACAACGAAAATAATTCGAAATTTTTAATTTGATACCCATAGGCGGGTATAGGTTTTGATATGTTAATTTTAAATCAAATTTGAAAACTTTTAATGAAAAATTACAAATTGAAAAAATGTATTATTTATCGAGATGTATTACATGTTAAAATTAACTTCTGATATATCCTTTATATTTCACATCTGACTGGTAACTGGGGTTTGAAATAAATATATTTTAATATATTTTGTTGATATTTTATGTGTAACGAAACGTTTCATAACTTTCGAGGTAACATTTCCTATATTTTGTTGAAAATGCCAAAGTTTAATTAGTTGTAAGCCAGTTTAATATTTAGATATTTTTGCCTTATTATTATTATAAGCCAAAATTAACTTTATATTTATGTCAGATATACATAAACAAGGGTGCATGTATAGATATAAAATGGTTCCTTCCTATACAGTTTTTTTTTCAAATTCAATATTTAAAAATTACTGCGTTGGGATGTTAGCAATACAAAGTTATTTTTATTTGCTACGTTTTCATAAAACAAGAGTATCTGGAAAACAAGCACCTTGAAAAATATTCCGTTATTAAATCCACCTACTATATTGTGTATTGCATAATAAAACACACCAATGTGAATAAAGTTTTCTACTTACTTTTTGAAAATTTAATTATAAACGATAGTTTTGACTCCCCTGTAATGTATGCTGACTGAAAATTAATAATCTAATCAGTAAAGCGAAGTTTTAAGCTTTAATAAACTTATTTACAAGTTTTGGAGAAGGTATTACTGTCCTTCCAGATTGAATGCATAATTCCTGGCTCAAGATTATACATTTTCATTTTCTTTGTTAAAATTATACATTTTTGCTTCATAAATATTCATTCCTTTATTACAGCCTTCTCAGCAGATTACATAAAAATAATAATTTGATTCATATAGTCTTAAGTGCTCTTATTATTTAAACAAATCAAAATAAATGAAACCCACTTAAATAATAATCAAACTTTAAATTTTATTTTTATTTTTATTTAAAATATGCAAAGAAAATATAGGTGTGTATTAAGGATTACTGTCTAAACTTATTCAATCAGAACAGAACAGATTTTGTCCAAACTTTCTGGAAGCGCCGGTATTATAGAGTTGATTCGAGGAATTAGGACTTCCGAAAACTACGAGAAACTGCATTCGAAGGATTACATTGATGTTACTCAAAATAGGTAGTTTCCTTTTGAATTAATAATAATTCTTTGTCTCGAGTTTACGAAAATATATATCTAAGTAACCAAGTAACGTCTTGGCAACAATAGATACTGGTTATTGATTCAAGCAAACATAAACAAAACCAAAACGACTCTACCTTGGCTTCTCTTAAAATGCATCAGAGATATATTGCTTGCAGAAAAGGCTTTAGTGTTTTATTGTTGGGTTTTTACGGTGCTTGTATGCTAAATTATAAGCTTTCAGTTGTGCAAGATGAGTAAAAGATTGAAAAAGGCCAGAGGGCTCGGTCAATAATGGAAAAGCTCTTGACTAGTTTCTTGCAACAAAGAACTTACATAATGGATCTTAAAAGAGCAAACCTATAGCTTTTCATTTCATAAGGCTTCTTGTTCTCATTAAATGAATACTTGTTTGTGCTTTGTTTACTAATCGGAATCTGTGTAACGAAAATATTAATGCTAGAATAGATAGAATTTGATTGGAAAACTTTCGAATTAATCCAACATCACGGAGAAGTGGATAACTTTTTTGTTAAATGGAAAAGTTATTTTAAGGTCACCTGAAGCAATTTTTTTAATGAACAATGTTTAGTTCTAACAAAATTTATTTTTTAATTTTTCTTATTGTAAAAGATATTCCCTTCTTGCTTTCTATACTATATACCCTTGCAAGTTTTAAACGTTAAAAGTTAACCATTCTTACGTGTTTTAGCTACTTCAACTGCTTCAGACTTTTTATTAGAAAACAAAATTAGTTCTTTCTTGGAGTATTTACTGAATCACTAAGAGGGTTGCAATAAAATGAACTTGATCTGTTAAGATCAATTCCTTTTACCAGCAAATTGGTGGATTTTTTGTTAATCTTGTGTCTGGTCTAAGACTTCTGTAAATAGGATTACATCAAGCAATTGGTAGTTCAAATTGCTAAAATAGTTCACTTCCTTCACTCGAAACTGGCGTCAAAAGAACTGACACATGCGGTACAAGTTTAGTAAATGTGTTTGCTTTTTCTCCCTTATCTGTGACCCGATTTCTTTGCCTTTTTTGGTTTCTTGTCGACGAATGTTAACAATGTTATTTACTTCATATGCGAGCGTATTGATTTCTTTTTTATTCCTTTTACGGTTTATTATGTGCCAGGATTTGAATTGATGCATCGGATTACACTAAAGAGCGATGCACTTTCCTCACTGCATTTTAAATACATTTGATCGCATAAATATGGTTATGAGGTCAAAGAGCGTTTACTGTAATCCTTAAACTTTAACGAGATTTATCGACCAAATGGAGAATTATTAGTTTTTGAGTCGAAACTGGATTTAAAATATTTTATTTTATGAGATTTTGAAAAAGCAATTTTGTCTCATCGATAAAAAGTTGGCATATGCCTAGTGAATTTTTAATTAGGGTAAAACAAAAAAGTTACATTTAGTGCATACAACATGATGATGTTCAATAATAATTGAAAATCAATACTTACCTGTGTCCATGTTGACGCTTCACTGTATTGTTGAACATTCTAAAATAACAGCAAAGTGATCAGAAGCAAATTTTACTATATCCCAGTTTTTTCATTTTTTATTAACAGAGTTTATTCCCAAATTAGTCTGCACAATCCTATTCGCGGAATATTTATTGTGGGATTCTCTCTAACATTGGCCATAATTTCTCTAGAGCTTACACTCTTAAATTTAAACCAGATTTAGTGCTTACTTGCTGTTTCTAGAGATTTTATACAAACCTATAAACTTATTCGAGATAATCCATTCGTAGATCTGATTAAGGAAAATTAACTGCATTTTCCGTCACATAACGATATTTATTTAGAAATATTCATAGTATATACAAAATTAATATAATACACAGTAGGCTAAGCTTTATCACTATTGGTAAATATTATGTACACAAAGAACGCCGAATAACACTTTGACACAGAGTTGAATCCAATGTAAATACTTCGAGAAATGTTTGGAAACTTTGAAGATTGCCATCAGTCCAAAGTTGCAATACTGTTGCCAACTGAAACACACGAGAAAGTAATTCAATTATTTATTTGTCTATTACTTTTGTTAATCAAAAACAAAGAACAGTTGTTTTGAGTACACAATTAAATATGTTAAGCGTCAAGCTAAGTACTAAATTGCGATAAAAGATAAACTGCATTTTTGTTCAAACAGCAAATTGTACACGGATAAACAATATGTTTATCTGCAGGTCTTTAACCTTATAATACAAAATAGAAAGTCAATTAATCCATAATTTTATAAAATAGTGCTACATAAAGCACGAAAATGATGAAACTATTTCATTCAGACAATTTTGATCAGTACTTCAAAAAAGAATATTTTTTCATAAAATAGATAATAGTTTGACACCTGCAATATTTTTGTTATACAGGATATTCCGTTTTTATTGTTACAAATTTAAACAGGTGATAGGATATTCAATTCTAAGACAAAAGTTTCCTATAAACATGTATCGAAAAATGCTTGGTATGGGAGCTACACCCTCTGAAAGGGGGCTAATAGGTTTTTGCTAATATTTTAGAAACAATTTAAGATAAAATTACAAAATTTGGTACAGATGATAATCTTTATACACCTAAACGAATGCAAACATCAAATGTCGAAATTTCTAATCAGGGCCGTCCAAATCTGATGGGGTTTAGGGTAAAAAAATACCCTATCTATTTTAGCTCTAGTTTTTTTAGTTATGCATGGTAGTCACTTTGAACAACTTCTTTAGATTTAGGCAAATTCATTTAATTAATGTTATTATTGTTACTGTAATGTAATGTTAATTAGTTGAGGTTGATTAAAAAGTATGAATTTCTTGCTTTTATTATTCTGTAAATTCTGATTTATTTGAATGTTGTATTGGTGTGTAACATACATTTTAAATTAATTTTATTCAAAAACAATAAGTCGTATCGACACAAGAGAGACTTTTCTGTGATAAACTATCGAACTTAAGATTTTGTTGCTGAAAGTACCGAGAAACTAAAGCCAAAATAAATAGGGTATTTTTTTACCTTAAACTCCCCCAGTTTCGTACGCCCCTGATTAAAAATTTCGACATTTGATGTTTGAATCCGTTTAGGTGTATAAAGATTATCATCTGTACCAAATATTGTAATTTTATCTTAATAATACACAGTAGGTTTCTGAAATATTATCAAAAACATATTAGCCCCCTTCGGGAGAGTGTAGCTCCCTTACCAAGCATTTTTCGATACATGTTTATAGGAAACTTTTGTCTTACAATTGAATATACTATCACCTGTTTAAATTTGTAACAATAAAAACGGAACATCCTGTATAAACAGATTTTCAATTTTTGTTACTTGTTAAATTATTAAACTGAAAGTGATTTTATTTTACAAGTGAAACATCTTTATTTTTTTTTAAATTATTTAATATCGCTTTTCCCTTCCTATCATTTACATACACTTACCAAATTACTCTCCAATTTTCATTGAAGCATCATAAGGGGGCGGTTCCTCCTCTGTAATTAGCCTCAACCTGACGGTCTCCGCTGCGGAGTCATAAACCGCTCCCATGGTAGGAACCCCACTGTTTGCATTTGGCACTAAAATATTCTCCACCTCAACACTGTCAGTTTTCAAGGGTGGCGGAGTTGATTTTCTTTCTCTGATAGACGCAGCCCTATGCACTCCACTCTGCAACAGCGACTCTTGCTGCGTCTCATTATTTCCATTGCACGTCCTCTCGGACCTCCAGTTCCCCAACCTTCCAGGTGGTACTCTCATCGAACCCGAGTCACAACACGGTAAAACTTGCTTAAACTCTTTGCGAAAATTTTCATTCAACCAGGCATACAAGAAAGGATTGTAGCACGTCGAGGACATGGCCAAAGCGTGCACCAAGAAAAAGCTGAGTAGGTAGTACTCCCAGTTGCCGATTTGGTCGTAGAAATCGTTGATGAGGTTGATCAAGTTGAGGGGGAGCCACGAGATGAGGAAGATGGCCACCATAGCGATCAACATCCGATTAGTTCTTCGTTTGCGTTCGCGATCGGCTTCTTCCTTGCGCGAGTTTTTGGAGCCGGGCTTGCTCCTTGCGCGGTCGTTAAGTTTGATCGAAACACAAATGTAGCAGAATTTGATGATGAAGAAGGGAAAGATAAACTGCATGGTGGTTGTAAACCCCCCAAACAGCTTGCGCCATTTTTCACTAGGCCAATTTTCGTCGCAATAGTACTTGACTTTAGTGGTGGTGTCGGTGCTGTTGCCTTGAAAATATGTCATGTAGATCCCATATGGGAGGGTCACTAGAATCGAGAACACCCAAATAATGACGATGATGAAGATGCAAGTAGAGATCTTCATGCGGGGGTGAAAAGGGTAAATGATGACGAAGAACCGGTCGATGGCTATTGACATTAAAGTAAGCGTAGAAATATACACACTGGCTCCTTGGGCGTACGACACCAGGTGACAAATGACACTTCCAAACACCCATTCGCCCAAAAATGTGTACAGAGGAGTGAAAGGTACAGCGAGGACACACAGCAAAATATCGGATAAAGCCAAGTTTGTAATGAAGAGGTTGGTTACTGTTTGCATGGCACGACTTCTAAATACCACGTAACAAACTAAAACGTTGCCGAATATGCCTAACACGAAGATCGTGGTGTACACCATGAAGAAGATAGACTGCACTAAAGGGTTGTGGATGATGTCGTGGGTACTATTTACAGTTGCTTGGTTCCATTCTTCGTTGGTTGCAGTACTGTTATTGAAATTCTCCATTACACTTTTTTTAGTTTTAATATCACTTTTAAACTTTAATGTCCGACATTTTGTTAACGGCAGTCTACTGGTTTACACACTTCAATCTACAGGCAAAAAAACACTTTCATTAGTGACGGTACCTTATAACTGCTTAAGTCAATATTTACGATAACAATACATTATTCTTAAATTGGAAGAAAATAGCTGCCAGATAAATATTACCAAACACACTAAAGAACACAATCGATAATTTTATTACTTGTATGCAGAGTGTGTCAAATAGGTAATTTTTTCAAACTAATTTGAAACTAATTCTGAAATAACACAATTTATTAGAGAAACAATAATAATCTTTGCTTGATGGGGTTGAAAAAATATACTTTGACGCACCTTTCAGGTACTACTGGGAGCAGGCAATGTCACCTGCTCTCGGTAGTACCTTGTTGACACAAAACATTCACACACAAACTCGGGTACTATTTACCTCAGTCTAAGCATTTAGTCAATAGAACACATCATGATTAATTATTATTTAAAAAATGCAAACCATAACAAAACTGAAATAAACCAAAAGTTCTCACACATATATATTTTCAAGAAAAATAACACTCAGATTCTCCTAAATCTTACCAATTGAAAAAATCCTAACCAGTTAAAATAGACGGGATAATTACAGGTTATATTCTTGAGTTTGAGGAATGGGTTCAGCTATCGGTTCACGTGGTTCTAAGTGTTTAGCCGGTGACGTGTACACGGTAGAGTGTAAAAGAGTGTCTAAAGTGCGTTCATCACCATTACAGTACCGATTCGTTGCGCTTCGCAAAATACAAGGCAGGATCACCTTGAACTCCTTTCGGAAATTTTCGTTGAGCCACGCGTACAAAAAGGGGTTATAGCAAGTAGAAGACATGGCCACGCAATGAGCCAAGAAGAAAAACAGATGGAAATATGAACCTCGCTCGAACACGTAATAGTCGTGCACCACATTGATCAAATTGAGAGGGAACCAACAGATGCCGAATATCGTCACCATCGCTATGAGCATCCTGTTGGTCCTCTTCTTCTTCTCCTTGTCGGCCTCCTCGCGTCTGGCACTTTTCGTGCCTGGTTTGGACTTTGCCCTCTCATTGAGGCGGCCCGAAATCCGGGAATAGCAGTACCCAATGATGCAGAATGGAATGATAAATTGCATTACAAGTGTAAAAGAGCCAAAAGCGATTTCGAAGTTTTCATAAGGCCAATTCTCCTCACACACGATGCAGCCTTCAGACTGTATCTCGACCTGCATACAAATGCCATACGGAAGGGTGACCAACATAGAGAACACCCAGATGCCCAGGAGGATCCAGAGACAGGTATAGAGTTTCATTCGTTGTCGAAGAGGATGAAGAATGACAAAGAAACGATCAATAGCAATCGCAGTCAGAGTCAAAGTTGAAATGTAAACGCTGGTTGCTTGAGCGTAACCGACTAGATGGCAAGTTAAACTGCCAAATATCCACTTTCTTAAGAAAGTGTACAAAGGAGTGAAGGGCACACACAGGACGCACAAGATATCAGAGAGAGCCAAGTTTGTTATAAACAGATTCGTCACTGTTTGCATGGCTTTGTTTGAATAAACAATGTAACAAACGAGAATATTGCCGAATAACCCTAAAAGAAATATGGCGGAGTAAAGGATGTAGAAGATTATTTGGACTAGAAGATGACTCATTATTCCGATTTCTTGACATTGGGATGATGCACTATTTGCTGATTTTATGGCCTCTACGGTTGTGTTTAACACTGTCATTTTTTATTGTTTACGTCTAAAGCACTACTTTTATTCTGAAACAAAATTTCTTGCTTAATTATTTAGCCAAAAGCACAAAACACAGTAACAGTGTCAAAACCAGCTTACATGCCAACTTTTTTAATAAAACTTTTGTATTTTTGTATCTTATAAATTGCTTTTAATTAAATGGAATTAAAAAAACTATTCGCGTTCAAGCAGGGAAAATAAACACGTGTTTATTGAAAATATTTTCTTGATTTTTGTAACCTACTTTTTGACAAAAGCAGTAATTTGAATCGGGAATGAAGGAAAAACAGATAAACTGAACGAGGTCGACACATCTGTTTCTTTTGAGACGGGTAACAATCACACGAGAATCGAACTAAGTAAACATTTCCAGACCCAAGTCATTATTATTATGTCCAGGACGGAGTGTTTTCTCAAATAACCTTTTCCGATCTCAGTGTCATATCTAATTACGTCATCACATTATTTTCATTTAATTTTTGTGATTTATTTTCGTCTTCAAACACAAACTGATTCGATAACGGACTTCCAAAAATAACCCAAAAAATAAATATACACCAAAAAATAAAATCCTTCTCTTTCCTAAGGTCAAGAAAATGTACAAAAGCTTTATTAATATTGTTTAGTGAATAATGAACAAATTGCAAGTGGCTTTGAAACACTGCTATACCTCATCCTATCACAGTAACCAAATGAAGAAGCTAAGGATAACCTACACGACCTCTAATTAACAGTTTCAAGTAATTAGAAGTAGTGCAGGCTCCTTGATTGATTCTGCTATAATTGTGTGAAACTTAATATTTGACAAGAACGAACAAAGATGCCAAGAATGGACATGAAAATGATGTAGTCTGAGGTTTCTGCGGACGGTTTCAGAGTCACTACATTGTAAATAAAAGTAGTTACTTTGAAACATCCCTCTGAAAGTGGTTACCTGTTGGAAGTGTCGCAAAACTTCCGTTTTGTTGTAACATTTCAGCTAAGCGAAATAAACAAACACAAAACTAGATATTTAAAGTTCAATGATGGCAGTTTACTTACAAATGCAAAGAATTGCCGTTTTGAGATGTAAAATGTCTTTATTTTGCAATTGCCGCCTGTCGGAAATTGCTTAATCGGTAAATAAGTCACAGGGAAAATCCAATAATGTGAGTAATCAACAGAACTAAACACAAATAATTTATAGTCTCCTCGAATGTTATTGATTCACCATATTGCCCAGTTGGTTTGGGTTTATTTAATCAAAATACCAAGCTTCAAGGTTTACTGCTTAACTGAGAAAATCACAATTTAAGAACTCGAAGCATTGTCTGCATGTTTGGAATTAGGGGAAAATCGAGTTGAATAATTAAAACGCAGGACAATCGCTCTGAATGCGTAAACAAGCAACGGCTAGTTGAAAATTTTTAATTTAATTTTCTTTTTGATGTAATTTTGGGTTTAATTAAATTTTTGTAATTACAGGCGACAAAAATTATATTCTAAATGCAGTTAGAACAACACAATGTCACTCATCAATGTTTCATCATGAAGTTGAAAAATTATTCCAACACGTGATTTTATTTGAAATGCAGATACGCTGGTGTTGTGATTGCAAATTTTTACCAAAAAGAAAAAATAGTCAGCCTCAATGCGGGCTTTTGATTACAATATTATTTTAACAAAAAAATTTCCGTTATTTACCCTCCGAAAATCTTGGCGTTTTAGTTAAAAGGTTGATATAGAAAAAAAAAATAAAAAAGTGGCTGGTCGCTTTTGCATTTTTAATTTATTAATTGTCTGGAAGATTATTTACGTCTTTGTCATCAAATCTTGCTACAAACAGAAAATTTTCCAGAGATTTAATAAGGAAACAGGATTCTAATGTAGTATTGACTTGAAAACGCTCAAAAACGTCATTCAATTTTTAATAAATCCCTCTACTTTGTGAAGATGACTATATCCTTCTCAAAGGAGCTCAAATCTCCTAAAAAAATCTTCCTTTTGAATTAGAATTTATATTAAAAATTTGGACATATTATTGGTGTTTGGATTTTTTGCATTGCTCATTTCGTTCCTATATTCATGAATATTTACTCACTTTCTAATATTGCTTTTGTTTATTCTCTCGTATTTATTATTCTGTTATTATTTGTTTTTCTGTCCCCGTTGCAATCTTTTTACTTTTATCATTTATCAATCATGTAATGACTTATTTACGTTAGGCTAATTAGGAAAGAGTTTTTAACGAATCATTACCTTATTTACTTACAAAAATTTTTGCCTTTCAAGTAATTACTATTTAGGAGAGTAAACAAAAACTCGCCTCACAAAATTAGTAAACTGCGATTTAAGAGACTATAAATACAACTCTATGTAAACAAATCATCTTTGATTGAGATTAGTAAGTGGTAGTAAAATTATTGGCATAATTTCAATTACTGCACCAACACGAATTACTCTGAATTTCTTTCATTTTCGCAAATAACAACCCGATTAGGTATTATTAGATTTACGTTGATTTACCATCGTAGGCGTTATTGAATCCCAGTAATAAAATAAAATGCAAAGAGAAGTTTTTCCATCAGAATTTTCCCAATAACAAGTGTTTTGTTTCCAAAGAAAAATACCCATCCCGAGAAAAACTAATGAAAGTGAGTTCATTCCTGCAAACTCGTAAATTTCTCCAAAGTAATTTGGAAGTATTTTGAAGTAGTTACTCCATGTCAAGTTTATTATGACTCTTCTAAAAGTTTCTCTGTCATTTTTTTGATTATATGAAACTTCTTCGCACTTGTAGACTTAAAAGTTTTTGTAGCCACAAGCGACCATAAAAAAAATCTTCTGACGATGATGATGATGAACAAGTTTGGCGGCAATTCCGTCATAACTCTTCTCGTCAAAACAAAGTAAATTACTACTACGTAAGCACTTTGGAGTAAGTAAGTATTCCTTCAGCAGTTTTAAATGATTGATCGGCTAGAAGTTTGGTAGGGACTTGCCGACATTTCCATTACATCGACATCATCGACGAAATTAACACCGTCGACTTGGACAAATTCAATTTCATAGATATTCATGAGATAAATTGAGCTCAGAAAAGACTTAAGTAGACTTACAATTAAAATTTTCAATTTTACTTTAACAATTTAAATGCAATTCAAGATTCATTATGAGCGCGCTAATTGTGTTACGACCCCTTCAACGAGACGTAAGCCTTCGGCATTTTCTTGCACTTACTGAATCGTCTATTAGCAAAATGGAATAGTTTGTTTGAACTATAATTAATATTATTATAGGAAAACATTCCATCACGTAAGCATAATATGGATCACAATCAAATTAACAGCTTATTTTGAATGTCGACAACGAGACCCACTCAATACCACCTTCACCCTAATTTCGACCACAATTCCCTTCTTACCGAACAAAACATCAATTACAAATAATTACACTTTCTTCACAACTAATTGTACATTTATTAGGTAGACGCAAATTGTATATACATGTTTACCTTCAAAATTTGTACTATTTACTTTTAGTGCACATACGTAAAGGAAAACAATAATTATCATCTACTCTAATTAATTTGATTTCCTTCACAATCGAATGCATTAACGCAGAAATTTTAAAATGATTATTTATTTAAACAAATTTACATATCATTAATGCAATAAACCGCTATTGTTTGTCGTTTGCTCGCTTCATATGCAGTGATTAAAAACAAAGGAATAAACTAATAACTGTTCTATAAAAACTCATTTTAAAAAACTTTTATTTTCAATAAAATTAATAAATCTGCTCGTATTTATTTATTTAAATATTACTTGCGTGCGAAGATTAAAAAAAATTAAACCAACAGCAAGCGTACATTTTTACTACTGGGGAGTTCATTGTTTTTTTTTATAAAAATATGTATTTCTGAGTGGGTAGTTTCCAAATCGATTTAATTTTCACTCAGTCAGCGACGTTATTTTTACCCCTTTTAGAAAAATGTTGAAAGGCAATAACTCCTTTCGGTGGTTGGGCCATCCTGAATGGCGCGACCTAGGCGAGTGATAAACTGAGTTTTCAGGCCAGATTAATGTCTCTAGATGACATAAAAGTGGGATGAAATGTAAAACTGCAATGGAGTCCTAAAGCCACTTAACTTTACTGCTGTGCTTTTTATGATGTATTTATTTTTTGTAGTGGTGCTAAATTGATGTAAAATGAAGAGGTCTACTGGAGCCACCGCCAGAACAAATTATCAGCTCGATTGACACACCGAACGTAATAGAATAGCACGTGTAATATCGCAGTTGTGTTAACACGTGTACCACTGCGTGACAGTTTATACGTTCATTATTGTTTCGTTTGGTGGCCATTAGCAGAAGATTTAAGATATTGATGACGTAAACTGGAAGAGATATTTGTTTAATATGAAAAATGGGATAGGGATTTTTAACAAACATAACGATTCATTAAAATTCGTCGTTATGTAAATCGTTAACTGCCTGTTTAAATGAACATAAACGAGCTTTTACTTTACTGCCCATAAATAATTGCTTTCTTGGGTAAATAAAAATAAGTCTCTCCGCGGTGATGTAAATAAAAGTGAAATCAATAAATCAATAACATGTTCTTACTTCTTCTTGCATTCTTCAAAATGAGAAATTATTCAATGTGGATGAGTTTTATTATCGACTGAAATCTTTCAGCAAAACCAACTAAACTGCAACATAAAACTCAACGTATTTTTTATTTTACTTCAGGAAATGGAGGAACAGACTTCCATAAACTCCACTGATCTTTACTTTTTCGCACGCAAAAAAACACATTTGGTTCGACTCAGTTCAAGCTCATTCTTTCTCAAAGTTTATTTCATAAAATTAAAAGTTGACTTACAAGACAAATTTATTAACGCACCAGCCCACCCAAAGCCTGTTTAAAATTATTTCGTTACTACATCGTTGGCGAATTTTCAACTTTAAAAGCAGATTAGAATTGGCAAATATGCAAGTAATCTTACAAAATTATCAGCAAACTCAAGCTCTGGATGAACAAATATTTAGAATTTTGATATTTTAATCACAATATAAGGTATACTGCCGCGAGCTTACCATAAGATTACCAGAGTTTTGATTAATTAAAAAAATGTTTTTCACAAAAAAATTTAAAAACCACGACTAATTTATAAATTTATAAATATACGTAATTTTATATGTTGACATATGTGGTACCATAAATTTTACTGCATAAATTGTGCATTTGATTTATGACTCTCTTCTATTTACCGTGTGAATCATGAAATTAAACAGTTTCAATTGAACAAGTTTTAATCTGTTTCAAAGTAAATCCCCTGGCCATTTCAATCAAAATGAAGTGCCTAATGTAATAACGAACGGACTTACTTAAAAATTCAACCTAACTTTGTAGTTATCGAATCTTGCGGAATCTGAAGTCGTTAACAGCCAAAGTACACCAAATGCAATAGCAGTTTAGGTCAGAATATTTGACTTCGATAACTAAAAGTTGGTCGAAAACATTTTGAATTTAAATTGCGTATTGCATTAATTTGAAAGTTATTATAAAACCGTTTAGAGCGCCGTATAATGAAGTTACGAATGTTAAAGATAATACTCGATGAAACTCAAAGATAAAGTTATATTGGCGAAATAATTAAATTTGTTATTCGATTCCGACGCATACTCTACAAGTGAAAATACACCAAAAGTTTCAATTCTATTTTCATATTAATGTATTCTCTCATCGATTATTCATCAGGTTTTGTTAGCGAGACGCCACTTTTAATTTTATTTTAAATTCTGTGTTTATCACAAACGATATTTTTAGCAAAAATGTACATTTATCAACAAGATATCGAAGTTTGGTAAGTGGACGCTAAAAAATTGCCTAAATTAAATCGCATCCAGGGGCTATTTACTAACAATAAATTTTAGAAAATGGAAATTTTGTCAAATACAAACTAACTGCAACTTTAAGTAAGGAAAATCTAAACAAGAAAAACACCTAGTTTTTGTTTGTCTTTCATTAACTACGACATTTCTCGCCTGTTATTTTTCCATTTTTGACGAAAGCAGAGCAAACATTTGCGTCTGCTAATAACAATTTATAAACGAAAGCACTACCTGGTTGTCCCTTTTTTTCCTTCGACAGTTCTACTTTGGATTCGGATCGATCTTCAAATTAGCCTGAAAGATAGACACCTGTTGATTACATTCAACTTCAATTAATGAATAAAAGTGTGGCAGTTTGAAAAGTTTAAGTGCGAGTTCTAGTTCACGTTCGGCTATAAATAACCACAAGGAACGCATTTGTGTTTAAATTAAGTCTACATAGGCTTTCAAGATATAAACTCCTCCTTGCTCCAAAGACACATCTAAACAGTGATTTAAAGTGATTGATTTATTCTAGATAAAAATAAGTGTGCACAAAATTTAAATAGTAGTTTAGGACTGAATTAAAATTGGTATTGTCTGAAAACTATTTCGAAGTTTGAAATATTTAATTCGAAGTGCGAAGGTGTTAATTGAAAACAACATTCGCAGTTCTGGTTATCAAAAGATGAGATTTCATGTTATCTATTTTTTTCATTTACCAATCTTTAGAGTTTGGTTAAAACAAATCTAGTTTTTTCCATTTTGATGGTTCAATCACCATCAAATTTATTAATGCGAGTAGTAATAATTGGTCGTCATCTGCAGCATTATAGTTTAATCTTAATCCAATATAATCGTAAAATTTATCATTTTATTACCACTTTAACAAAATAATAACAACATGATCAAGCCTTGTTATATCCACAATTAACTGCAACATGTTCGTTTAATGAAATTGTAATCAAACGCATCGTTATGAAAAATTATTATTCGGTGTTTTAATTTCGCATTGAGGTAAAATATTCGCAATATTGTTTAAATGTTGATTTGCTGAATGGTTAAAGTTTGAAATTTGTTGATATTTACACTAGTAGCTAAGTATAATTAAACCTCCATTCATCAGAACATATTTCATTTGAATTCTATCTAACTTAATTAAAGTCGTTTGCTTATAATTACGACGTTTTAAATTAAGACTAAATCCTTGGGTGAATTTCATTTCCATCAGTTAATAACATCTAATCGTTGTAAAAGGTGTTAATTTCAAATGGCTAGAGAGGATTTGTAAATGGCATTATAGAGAAGCCGTGAACAAAACAACTCAGTAATTTTTTATTATTCAAGACACTCAAGACAAACGAAATTATAAAAAGCATCAACCTTTCTACTTTATTCTTCATTAGGCATTCATTGTCTAGATTTGCTGCCTCCGTAACTCATCATAATTAGAAATGATTTCCTTGTCGAGAAAATTCAGGTGAAAAATTCGCTCATTTCAACTGAAAAAATAATGAGAAGACGTGACTTTAAAGTTCATGTCCCGTGCAAAAATAAAAAATAAAGATTTTTTTCATTATTACATACTTACTAGTGTGTATCTGTTGTCAATGTAGAAAAAAAGATTTTATTTGATATTCTGCTTTTTCAGACCGCTGATCACGCATCTGGAGAAAACGACCTTTACAGCATTGAATTTGATCCTTTTTCAAGTAGAAAAAAGTCAGAATTTAGTTTACAGGGCGTAAAAGTGCAGTCATAAAATTTTATAGCGAGACAAAAACTATCAGAACAACCTAGGCGTTATTTGTCATAATAACGTTATTAACGGCAAATTCTTAAGTCCGCTATAAAGATTTGTGTCTACAAGTATTAATTTCAAGATTTTACTTTTGCCTTCTCTCCACTTCCTTATATTTCCAACGGATTAACTTGACATCTGCAACAATTTCTTACAGAATCGATTTCCATTGTAACAAATGACTTATGTTTAAGCCCCCGGCGGTGTCATTTATAAAATACAAAAAGAAATATGAACAAGAGTATTCTCCTGCATAGCTGAAATTTTTACAGTGACATTCCCAGCAGGTTTCTCGAGATTTATTACGAGCTCACGATAGGAAAGCTCTTTGAAATTTCCGGCAAACCTGCCTTTAAAAGCCCAAATGTTAATTAAAGTTTAATTTTTCGCAAGCGCTATATTCAGCAAACAATTAGAACGTGTGGAATTTTAGGCAGTATCGAGCTCTCAGTCCAAGTGGTCGTAAAATTTACACCGCTGCTAAATGGCAAAGCGCAACCGGTGCAAATGGTCCTTTGCCGTAAAAACGGTATCGGATATTCTCCCAATTCTTATTTCTGTCTGCATAAAAGATTCTATAACCACGTAAAACAATTTCGAGAAAATTTAATCTGTCCGACGCAACACACGTTGCGAAATTTTACAAAGCTTCTGTTTGAATGAGTCCGAGGCTCTAACAAAGTTTGGTTGGCGGTGGAAAGCCATCAGGATAGTACAAAGCCTCTTGTTCATGCGTAAAGTGGGAGGAAAATAAGACACGTGTGTGCATGCACTAATTAGAGAAGTTGTACATGCTGAAATTTCAGTGAAAATAAAACAGAACGGTGTTAAAGCTTGGTCAAATTTATGTAAGTAGCTTGTTGTTTTCATTGCCCTGTTTGTAACGCTCTAAAAAGAAGTCTCAACTCGAGAGAATAATTGTTTTGATGTTTTCAACACGACGAGGATTTTTTTGTATTCAAAAAGAAAACAACACCAAAATTTACAATAACATTATCTCTTTTTTTAATCCTATTATTTATTTTCC